CAGCATGTGCGCACGGAGACACGGTCCACATGTCCGCTCGTAGCTATGAGGCCCTCGGCGCACATACACATGACGCAGGCAGTGAACACCGGCGGCAAAGTATGTTTATGACGGGAGCTCGCGCATCCGTCCTTTGGACACGTGACCGGAGGAGGCTGCGGCGGTGAACACGCCCTCGACGCTTTCTCCAACAGCCTGGAACAAAGACATACTCCCACCCTTCGCCTTTGAGCCTTTGGGTCAGCCGAAATCTCCTGCTTTTGCAACTGTTCGAAAGCCGAGCCCCTTCACATCGTTGTGTTGGCGAAGGCAAAGAACTTGGCAGTCCAGGTGGCAGAGAGCATCCAAAGATGCAGACGCTCCTTGATTGAGTGGAACTCCTCCATGCCAGCTCTGTCACCAGCAGCCTGGATGACCGGCTTCTTGTGGAGGCCCTGTAGCCAGAGCTGCCAGGCGCTTGGTATCTGCACAGCTCACTATAGGATAGGGACACTGGCAGTCAAGTTACTGGCGATTGGTCAAGTTAGAATGGGCCATAGCCGTGGTAGCCAGACTCTGCAAACATGCTGAAACCTGATCCTTGCAGCCTTGACCGGGCAGCTGGGAAGGCTGATGAAGAATGCCTCCACAACTGCCTAGGCCTTGTCATTGCTGCAATGCCCAAAACCTGTTTTGCAGCAGCCCACATCTCCGAGTGAATAGATGGAGGGAGCATGCAAGCTCGCTAGACCACAAAGGGCCCCAAATCACATGTGCAGAGCTGCAGCAGCTGATGCACCTGCAAAGCACACGAGCCATCGGCTCTTCATTTAGCAGACGTGACGCAGTAGGAGCCGTGGCACGCCAGCCAATCGGTCCACGGACAAGCGCAAATGGAGAAACTGCGCTTGGGTCTTTGCGCGCCTAAATGCACTGGATGTCATCTCGCTTCAACCTTTTTCAGACGATGCCATGCTTTCCCACAAGAAGTTGTAAACTTACGAATCACACATTTCTGAAAACTTTGGGTGAGCCTTGTCACTGTGCCCCGCTGTGGGGATGCAAAGAGCAAAGCGAATTCATCGTCGAACTTACCCTCACCATGGACGAGGGCAGCGGGCAGGAAGCTTTGCATGTCACAGACATCATCGCAGACGGCAGGCAGGCGCATCACGCGGGCACCTGGCAGTTTGCAAGAGAGGGACAGAGCTGCTGTGAACGCAAAGGGCCCAACCACGGCCGTATCTTCTGCTTAAATGCAGTCAGTGCAAACTTTCCTGCGTGAATCCTGGCACACCTGCATCCGACCGAACTGACACCCTTTGACAGTCACATGGTCCCGTCTCCACTGCACCCGCAGGAACTTTAGGTGGAGATGCTCAGCCGGCATGACGTGGGTCACGCACGACGTTGCAAGAAGCTCGGCCCACTGCCAGATGTCAAGCATGCAGGCTCCTCCCAGCCGACGAAGCTTGCCATGAACTATTTACAATGTGCTCCGGTCCCTTCACGACCATGTGCAAGAGCAGCACAGAAGCTCAAGCATCTGGGGAAATATTGACTCTCATCCACAGCTTATTCTGAATGAAGAGACTCAACCATCAAAGCCACGAGGCAGAACATCACACGGCCTGCGCCAGGGCGGTTTGGGGCGAGGAAAGCTAGAGACTTGCCTGATGCAAGACCGGCCGCCAAGTTTGATCTGAGAATCTTGAGAACACTTGTGGCTTTGCGCGAGTCAACCTCACCGCATATGGTATGCACAGAGGCTGAGAGCCACGAAACGGCGCATGGAACCATGGCTGGTTTCATGGTGACGAGAGACTGGCCCAGCCCAGCACGGCATGTGCGTCAAGCACCTGGGCTGCCCACCTGTAGTGAGCCTCCTGGCTTGCAGCGACACTTCAGATTGAATGCAAAGTCGCTTTTGGCATCGGGGAAAGGCCAATGGCACTTGCAGCGACTGTGTATGATATCCTGATCACACTCGCAAGGCTCACAAGGCTCACCGTCGCAGGACCTGAGCACGTGCCCACCAGTGTCAGCCACTGCCGCCGGTAGGCTTCCGGCTCTCAGGCATGCCCGCTGTGCTATCGGAGTCCTTGCCCAAAGAAAGGAAAAGCTGCATGGGAACCGAAACGCAGTTGGACTCCTCAAGCTGCTGCACTTACAGGCTGAGAATGTCCATACCCTGTGGCTGCATGGGGTTCTTGCACGTCGCAAACTTCGCCGTTCTGAGAGCTACACAAGGCTTCAAGCAAGCCGCAAGCCAGGGTGAAGCACAAAAAGCTTTAGGCACCCTCGTTGACAAAAGCGCCGTGCTCGAAAAGAAAAACTCGCATAAGCCCTTACAAATTTCAACATTTCAGTGGCAAGCCGCCTACAGTGTTTAACTACGCCTATGCCGAACACAAACCGGGCTATAAGTTTTGAGGATGCGAAGACGCATGGACCTTGGCGCGTCACTTCTCAGGTAGCCCCTCTCAGGGTACTACAGAAAGCCTTGACTCACTTCGGCTGAGACTCCCCGGTGTTCAGCAGCTGATGATCGGCACCATGCGGCTTGCCCGACTGGTGCTTTGGCACAGGTCTGCGTCTTGTTGGACCAGATGCTCCTCTTGGTTCTTGAAATGGAAGATGGAAGAAGCCGCAAAGTCCGCTAGGTGATCAGTTGAGGCATCCCGGACATCGCAAGTTAGGGCACAGCTGGGGATGAAATCGGAACACGTAAGACATTTCAAGATGGTGAAAATACCCATGGGAAGGCTTCCGGCCTAAAACCTTAAAGCTTCAGTTTAAGCATCAAGAGCATCAGCCATCATAAGTGCCGGAGTCCATGCTGGCCGTTCATCAAACTCCACGGCTTACAAGAGGAAAAACATCTGAGTTCAAGTCTGGCCAGCACTGGATGACAGACTTAGTGGAAGAGCTTCTCCGACAGCCCATCGAGACTGCCTTCGACGACGCAACTTCAAGTTAACTTGGCCCAGCCCCCGGCACCTTTGATGGATGCCTGCCACGAAAAACATGCTTTTGGCGGCATCTTGGCTCGATACCTTGTGAAGAGATACGCCCAAAGAGTGGAGAGCTGTTTGTCACAGCCCCTCCACGAGGACGTGCGCAAGAAGACGCAGCTCCCTGCTGCGATCCTATAACCTTACCTAGAGGCATCTATTCTTACTTCTGAAGCACCGGTCCCCGCCGATGGCGCAGGACATCGTCACATTCACACGACCCTTAACCTTCGAGTTGACCAATCGGCGGAACCACAAGTAAATCTGTCAACCTGCTGTCATATGGGCGGAATGGGAGGATAGGTCTTTGCGTAGCCACGCATGGTCACGAAGGGCACAAGTCCATCCGGACTGGTTATCGAGCCTCCCAGAAACTTGCACTGCACCGTTATACGAATGCCAATGTAACACTATACTATCATGTAGATGCTACATTCTAATGTGACTTTCTATCATCGTAAAATCACATACACAATTTATATGCTGCGCCCTTGGCGCCTTCCAGGACTCGGATGCCGGTTTGTGGAATAGGCCAAGCCTTCCAGGAAGTGAGGGAGGTAAAGGCAATGGAAGGCAAGCCCCAGTGAGATGTTGAGTATTTCAAATATTGGGGGTACCTTATTGTGGTCATGATTGTAGGGGAATCTTTCTACTTGGGGGGTACCGTGTTTTCGGAAACCCCCAAATAATTTCGTTTTCGGATGTTTCGGGCTTTGAGGGTTGAGGGAGTTGGGGGAGTGTAGAAAGTTTGCACTCTCAGGCCAAAGCCACGCTGCCTCGAAACCACCACAGCCGCAGCACACGGCGTGCACCACCCTCTCTTCCTCCAATCCAAGATGACACAAGTTTTCAGGCACATCCGGATGTGGTTATGAATGAACATGACAGAATGACGTTTAACAAAGTGAGAAAGCAACAGCGCGACGCAGAAGCAAGCAAAAGACAGTACAAAAGAGACGTAGCTGAATAAGAACCTCAAGTTCTTCATGGTTTGAACTTGTTACAGCTTTCTTCGCCTTACCTCCTTTCGCTCACTGAGCTGAATGTCTTTGATCGTATTTGAGCATGTTGAGCTCTGCCTGACTTCTCGCAGGCCTCGCGGCCTAGCTTACCACAGAGTAGCAAACTTGTCTGGAATCTATGGCTTTTCCGCGTTCAGAGGCAGAGCTCTTAAACACATGGGGTTTTGCGAGATTCTCGGACATGTGTAGATTTCCCTTCTCTTGACATAGACACACACAAACAAATCGGGCGCCACTTTGCTACGATGCCCTCCAGGAGCTGAACCACAGTTGAAAGCCGGGCGCCTGTATCCACGTCTTGCTGAACTGGGAAGCGACATAGCGAAACTGAAGGATACCGGTTCTGTCGGGCGGCCCTAGATGTCCAAAACATGCAAATGCAGAGAACCGTGCAGTCCTAGCTGGCAGAGGGAGCTAACTGGGCAGTCATTTGGTCCGAGAGGGAAACCAGTTTACGGTCGTCCACCCCCTCTTCGCGTTTTTGATGAATCTCTAGGAGCCTTCCCGCCGCTCCTGAGCAGCGCAAGCAGGTTCCCAAGCTGGTGCAGAGTAGTCCGGCTTGGATGGCGCAGCGCCCTCCCTTGCTTTCTTGCCCGCAGCTTCATGTCAGGGCAAGCATCGAAGCTACATGAAAGGCCTCTGCCTCCTTGGGAGGAGTGCCCAACTATGGTCCTAGAGAGTTCTATGTGCCATCACGTGGTGGGGCCATCCTGGAAAACCTCAGGTTCCAAGCCCACATGACTAGCAGGTTCAAGGCGAGCTCCATCAGCAGAAGATCTGACCCTTTCCAGCTATGGAATGCTAAGGATGAGCTAAGCACTGCGCGCGGAGGCCTGTAGTGTCGTTCGGCCTGGACGCTGCTGCGACAGCACCGCAACACCAGCCAAATTGTTGCCCATCGCTTGACTTGCAAGCGAGCGCAAAAAGAGAAACCACAAGTAACCGCACGTCTGCTCAGGGCTCGGCAATGCTCTGCTGCTCAATCTCAATCTGTGCCACGCATAGCCTCCAAGCAGCTGGAAGCTCAAAGGCTCTCTTTTCCCGACCATCGGACTGGTGTGCTTTAGCCGCATTGTCTTTGCCGCGGTCATGAAACACTTGCAAAGCCTTCTTCACAGAATTGGCGTATTTTCAACACAGGCGCTTGCAACTCTCCCTTCATGGCCGTGCCCCCTCCAATGCCCCAGTGGTGCTCAAAAAGTCAAAGTCAAAAGGCAAACCTGCGAGCACCTTCAGCACCTTCAGCCCCTAAACTCCTAAGGGCGCGCGCCTTCTCCATCATCTTGTTGGCCTTGAGCTTTGTCTGCCTGGGAAGCTTCCAGCAAAGGGCCCTCAGAGCCACATCTTGCCAAGAGCGCGGCCTGATCTGTTCTCCGTTCTTCTTTGCCTGCTGGAAGTAGAGGTCATAGTAACCTGGGGTGGAGGGCTCTAAACCCTACACCCTAAACCCTAAACCCTAAACCCTAAACCCTGGGGGTGCGGCGCCACGCGTCGTCCTGCTGCAACTCCGCCTTCCGGCTCCAAAGAAGAGAGAGGGAACGACCCCAAATTCCCGTAGCCACATGGGCATTTCCCAAATTTGGGGTACCCTCCCCCAAAACGGTACCCTTATTTTCGTAAACCCCCATGTGCAGATAATGTAGCCTTCGATTCTGTAAGACAAGGCCTGTGGTGCAAGTGCATCATTACACAGCACCGTCTAGTGCAGGGCTGGCCAGTGTCCGCAGGATGTCGCAGGGCTAGGATGCAGTGGGAGGCATAATCAAGCAAGGGTGTCAAAGCTCTCAAAGCTGAGTGGTAGCAAGGCTCTCTTGGCACGTGCCTTCACCGCCCCAGGCGTGCGCTGCAGCCGCCTGCGCAGGACGTCGAGGTCTTCCTGGCATGCACTTTGCACATCGACGACCCCCCACGGTCACCTTAGCTCAAAACTTGTGGGTTACGTTGATAGTAGCCCGCTTTAGAGCCCTCATTCATAGGCCTCATGAACATGGTCCGCAATATAGGATTCGGAAAGGAAGCAAGACCCTTTTGAAAATCTGAGCAAAATGACCGTTTGTGCTTCGGGGAATTGCTTGAATTGGCGAGGTATAGTATGCTCATGGCATGCGAGCAGCTGTTTGTTTGGGATGTTTTCACAGGTGAAGTGCGACAATAAGAGCTCTCAGAGCAGAAATACGACGAAAAGGATGATCTCAGCCGGGTATCAACAACAGGGTACATGAACCCTAAACCCTAAACCCTGAAACCCGTTTAGTATTCGGCTGGTTCCCAAGAAAGAAAACCTCATGATTTTCCAAGCTTTTCTACCGCTGTCCGGACTCCTGCACCGCAGAGTAATGCTTCATTACCTCGGCTTGGACGTGCATCTCAATCACTGGACTCCAACTACAGATTGCTCTCACTTAGGCTTAGGTTAGTTTAGGATTTAGGGTTTTAGGGTTTTAGGGCTTTAGAGTTTGGGGTTTAGGGTTCCATGAGAGCATGTGAGAATTCCGTTGCCATCTCAGCCGAGCTTCGGGTTGGGATCTGATGTCGTTCGCCCAACCCGACGTCAAACGATTCCTTGCCAGACCGAGCAGTCATACATGAAAGTGAAAGGTGGATGATTGAACAGTTGCTTGAATACACACCTCGGATGTATTGTGAATGAAATCGAACGAAGTATGGAAATGCTGCCAACAAGCAAGAAAAAATGCCTTACTCACGAGCTTTTGCCGTGCAAAGCTTCCTGCGACCCTTCACAAGACCCACCAAACAAAGGCACGCTCTCCGTGCAAGTGTCGTGCCGGCAGAAAGGGCACGAACAACACAACTCTATCTGGATTAATTGAACCTGCAACCAGACAAAAACATCATTCGGCCTCTTGCCACAAGCTCCTACCTGAGCACATTGCTCTTGCAGCACAAGCTTCGGGGCGCACGGCGGCAACTTGTCAAAGGACTGCAGCTCCTTCTTGCTTTCAGCAGGATGGCTCATGGCCACTCCGATTTTTCTGCGCCGGCTTAGTTCGGGTCTTTCTGTCCCGACAATCGCACACCGCACGGGGGGGGGGGGGGGAGCAAGGGCTCATGCATCAGCTCGCTTGGTCATGTTCACATGATCTGCACTGATGAGGCCCACACCAAGTGCACCGAAAAGCGCGGATGGAACTTGAGATTGGTATGAGTATTATGGATATTCTGAGTAGTGGGGTTTTTGTGGGCTATTATGATTCTTGTATAATGGTCATTATGGATGTTATGATGATTCTGATGTCTATGCCGTCTGCAACACTCAGGTGCAAGTCGCCTCCAGGAAGGTGTCAATCGTGCCTGGATGTGCCCTAAACCCTAAACCCTAAACCCTAAAAACCCTAAACCCTAAACCCTAAACCCTAAACCGTGCCACAAGAGCAAAAGTCGCACGTCTACATCCCGGCATGCGCAGATACGATTCCACTCTAGACAGCGGACATTTTGTTTGGGATGTTCCCCCATTGTACTGGCAGTCCTCAATGGGGACTATAGTACCCCCGATTATAATCCCTCTTAAGGACTGTTAGTATAAGGGGGGAATATCCCGAGAGTTTTGCTGGGTGCTCTTGCTCTTCTTAATGTCGGGATCATTCCGACTTAATCGTCATCATGAACCACGATTATCGTGATTTCTACAGGGAGAATGACTCTGATTATGAATATTGCGCGTATTGTGCGCATTATGATTAATATGCTTATTATGATGATTATGACAATGATGACTATTGTCATTAGTCATTAGTATGAATATTCGCCTCGGCTTCCTGCCGAGAAGCGTCTGGAACAAGCAGACCCGGATCGGGCCTCCTTCCCCCTAACCCAACCCTTCCCCCCACCCAAAATTTCTGACGCCACCCCCCTGTGGGAGTGAAACCACCCCCCCCACCCCAACCCCCCCTCCCCACCCCCCCCTCCCCCTCCACCCCCCCCGACCCCACCCCCCCCCCACCCCCCCCCCCCCACCCCCCCCCTTTGACCCCACTGCCCTTCCTCCCCTTTTTTTGCGAAACACTCTTTCCTCCTTTCCTGTCCTGGCCGGCCCGGCTGCCGAGGCGGCGCGCGCAAGCGTTTACAATTATGATGAGAATGATTGTCATGGCTATTGTGGTTACTATGATTATTCCGATTATTATGAGTCTCATGATTACTATCAGGATGACTCTGACTATTCTGCTTATGGCTTGCAGGCACACTCCTCAAGCGTTGTGGAGGGCAAGCAAACGCACAAGGAGCCTCCTGCATCTTTCGAAGCTTTGACCCGGGTCCCAACCTCATGGCTGCACAGGGTTTAGGGTTTAGGGTTTAGGGTTTAGGGTTTAGGGTTTAGGGTTTAGGGTTTAGGGTTTAGGGTTTAGGGTTTAGGGTTTCGGGTTTAGGGTTTAGGGCTGCTTGGGTTTTTCCGAGTACTGCTGCGCATTGACAGAGCTTCAGGGATATGCGTGCAACCAGACCTAACGGCGCCACACTACCGCAACCGACTTGAGTACTTCCCGAAGTGGGGACCCTTCTTTCTCATATACCTCCAAAGCATTCTAGTCTTGATTTCACAGGAAACCACAGATCCATAGTACCCCTAAACCCTAAACCCTAAACCCTAATCCCTAAACCCAAAACCCTAAACCACTTCGCCACATGCGGACTCACTCCTCGAGTCGAAGCGCCTGCGGGTCGGACTGGCTCTTTGACAGCGCCCGCTCCTTGCAAGGTTGCGAGCATTGAGGGCAGTAGACTTGCTTAGGGTTGAGGGTTTAGGGTTTAGGGTTTGGGGTTTAGGGGGTCGGGTTTAGGGTTTAGGATTTAGGGTGTAGGGTGTAGGGTGTAGGGTGTAGGGTGTAGGGTGTAGGGTGTAGGGTGTAGGGTGTAGGGTTAGGTGCTTTCAACCCCGGGCTCCCTTCCGCCACAATGAACCATGCAGTCCCGACCTTGTAAGATGGCTTCCGTGCGGGCTTGGCCAAAGCCTGCAGGTAGGCGGCCTTGTGACGGTAATGAGGGGTGAGACGTGAGACATGATACTAGTGCCATAAAAGCGATGAGGCCAAGTCATAACAGTAGTCATGGTAATAATAGCATGACAAGCATAACAACGATCATATCAATCGTCACAATAAGAACAGCAGCGTGACTCACAACATCTTGCAACTAGCCTGGAGGACCTGCATTCTCACATGTCTTGGAGCGATCTGAAGCTTGCTCTACAGGCGCCTTCGGGGGCGAGGGGTCTCTATAATTGTATTTCGGAAAGAGCTAGGGTTAGCCCAACGAGCCTTCGAAAACCGAAAGCCCGTGCTTGTGCTTGGCACCTTGGCTACCTTGGGCACCTCGGGGACCCCTGGGCACCCTGGGTACCCTGTTGGGTACCCACGAAGGAGCCCTCAGCAGTGGGTAGTCCTCATTTACAAGAACCCCCAGAAAGGGCACCCTCAATTTTAGGAAACCCCTAGTAGAGAACTGCCCATGCTCTCTTGGTGGCCTTTGGGCTGGCTCTCAGGTAGCGGCTTTGCCCATTCGCTGGATTCTGTCACCCGGCATACTCCTGCAATGCGTGGAGTTTTTCAAAAGGGAACCTTGAGTTAACCCCCTGGTCCGCTACACTACTCCTTTGGGGACTGCCGTAAGGTTCTGGTCCCTAGGTTCCCTACTCCCCCCTTTTGGATCCCCCAGCCCTCAAAAGGGCATCAGTTCATCCAAGGCAGGCCGCACCTTCCGGGCAGAGACGGGATCGGCCGATTGTCCCATCCTTCCTGTGCTGAGGCGGGGGAGGAGAGAGGAGGGAGGAGGTTGCTTTTTTTTGGGAGCTAGGGCCCCTGATTGGGACCTTTTTTGTAAGGAACTTCTGGTAAAAGCCAGAAGGCGTAAACCCACACCCGAAATGTCAAGCAACCCTCTGCCAACATTCTCACCACCGGCTCTACCGTCAGCATGCCAGCCAGGATCATGAAAACACGTTGGGGGTTGCCGATTCTGTTGGGTCTTTTCTAGGACTTCTTTTTCTCGGGGGGGGGGGGGGGGGGTGGAGGGGGGATGGGATAAAGCGGGGACCCTATGCTTTTGGAAACCCCCACTTGTGTGTTCCAGCTTGCGTGCACCTTGTAGCCGTAGTCGGCTTGGACCTGTTCAGGTGGGGAGCCATGGGCTTCTGATGCTGTTCCGTGCTTGACTGCTCAGCACTGTTTGTCCAACATTTACCACGGGCAAGAACTCAACATACTTCCCTGCCAAGAACCAGGAAAACTTGCGCACACTCCACCACGTACCACAGGCCTTTCCGAGGTTGTACTCGGGGTGTCCAACGATCACAAAGTCGGAGCGACTACCTGCGAAGTCCTGGGGCTTGGGATTAAAGGTTGGGGTCTAGGTTAGTAGGGCGCTCCCGGCAAACAGACCTGCCTTCATGCAAGAACGCTTCTGTTTCAGAGTCCATGAGAAGAGTGAAAGATTCGAGGTTCGATCGGACATGCAAGGCTTCATTTAATTTTCTTCTTCCGGTCTCGGCACAAAAGGCCAAGCTTTCGTAGGGAGGGTTTGAGAGTTTGTCTGTTCACCCGAATGCTCTGAAAGGTCGGAGTTGGGATTTCAGGCCTTTGGTCAATGCTCCGAGCACGAATGTCCGGCCTGCTATTCGGTGTATGATAACAGGTGGCATGCAGGAACTGAAGCAAGCTGTTTTCAACAGATTCGAGAAAATCCAGCAGGATTATTTATGGGAAGGTCTACAGCCACAATGAGCTGTGTCTGGGCAACCTCTTAGTCTCATGAGGACAAGCGACACTGCAAGCATACCGTGCTTACTTGCCACTCGCTTTTACCACATTGAAGTGGCATGCTAGGGGATGTGAGCAGCTCGGCGTGTCCGCATAGAAGTTGTTGATGAGGCGCAGGCCATACATGGCCTGGAAACAAGCCACATTGCAGCTTGAGAAGGCTACTGCTAGCAGCCACAAGTACGCGATCTGAGAGTCGAGCGGCACACTTTGCGGCTTTGGCAGAAGCTCGCAAGCTGAGATAAGTCAAGGCGTTTTAAACAAGTCTGTCTCATACTTCAGCGCTGGCGGCATGGCACTCATGCGCGTACCAACTTGGCAGTCATGTCGGCTATATTCTGCAAGCTTGAAGTCTGCGAGGTGGCGATGGGCTTTGCATCTGGAGTTCAAAAGCGCCCGAAATGCCGCTTGCTTGCTCGCAGAGGTGCGATGCCCTTTTTCCGCAGCTGCAGACCAGGGTGTGGCGTCCTCATCACTGCTGACCAACTCCTCCCAGGCAACCCGAGTAGCATTGCCTGAGCACGGGCCACACTACGATACACGCCCTGACACGGCGACGCGGGGGTTGATCTCAATCATGGGCTCGTTTGGTGGACTGATGAGGGCATAGACCTGCCATAATGGAGACCCAGTCAAGGCGCCTCATTCGCGTCAACCCCCCCCTCCCCCCTATCGAGTTAAGTGCTGTTGGTTTGTGCGGGGGCTTTCGTCTGGCCATCTTGGCTTGAGGGGGTTTGGCTCCGGGGGCCCCCAACATGCGAGACTTGCACTCCTCTCTACCTGTTAAAGCTGTGTCAAGGACCCACCTTGAAACGACAACAAACGCCTCCTAACTCAAAACAACCACCCCCCCCCCCCCCCCCCGGATGCACCGCAACAAGTGGAGGGCAAACCCAAGCCCAGCCATAAACCCCAAAACCCGAAAACCCTGAGCTCTCGGCCAGGAGAGTCGCCAGCCTTGCAGCCGCTGCACTTGGCTGTACTTAGAGACTTATAGGGGGCTGTTGCTATTTGCCAGAATCTGTTACAAACAGGCCCCAAAGAAACAAGCCGCAACTTGTTGCTGTGTTCCCCCACAGCTGATGGGGCTGCAAGCACTACGTAGGCTTGAGCAGCTGAAGGGTTCTAAAGTTGGACTGGACCGGTGGGGTATATTTTAAGTACACTATGGGCCATTGGGCCACTGCGTTCTCCTACGCATGGGTCCTGTTTTTCGGTACCCTCGAAATCGTGGGCAACAGGCCCCCTTTTCCGACAGTGAAAGCAAAAAGGGACCCATAGGTTTGGAGAAGTGACCACATGGGGGGACCTTGCTGTACCCTGCAGTTCAGAAGCGGGCGTTGGGCGCCTTCCTCTGGAGGATCTTCGGCGTTGCCATGGATTTGGCCTCCTGCACACTCAGGGATGCCAAGCGATGCTGCAAAGCTATGCTGCCTTCATGCCTGTCAGGGTATGTCACAGATTGACTACAAGCGATGCAACAGCACTAATTCTGCATGGCCCAAGTACACCTTCCCCATTCATGATCGTTGCTGTCACGTGGTGGTTATGGTTGATACTATGCCCAGTGCTTTGATCCAGCTCTTAACAACTGCGATTCTCGTTGACTACTGTGATTTATGATTGTTCATGGCGTTACTTCTTCTTGCTGCTTCCAGGGTTCTTGTTCTTAACCTAAACCTTACCCCCCGAAACCTCAAGCATCACCCCAGAAATCCCCAGGGCAGAGGGCGCCTTGCGTCTTTCAGGCAGCCGCTCGGCGCCTGGCCATATCGACCACACTACGGCGGAGTCACGCGTTCGCAGACGCGATGGGGAGGTGTCCTAAAATTGGGGCACCTGTCAATGCGCAAGTTTCGGGCTTTTGGGTAGATTAGGTCCCTTTCAATATCTTCGTATACATGGGGAGCGTAAAAAGGAGGCCTTTGGTTTCTTCACGCCAACATGAGAAGCCCTGCTTCGATCTCCCGCACCTCGCCTGTGACTGCGGTCGGGGACAGTGACAAGGACAGCACTCCTCAGGATCAAGCATCTAGGGGTTTGACCTTGGACCCTTACGGTTGTTGCCATGGGTTTTGGGGACCCTGCTTAACGATCCTTAAGGCAGCATAAGGGCCATGTTAGGAGCATGTTCATGCGAACCTTGGGGGTGCGAGTCTTAATCCCTTGAAAGCAACTGCACCCTGAGCCCTAAACCCCAATGTCGACCCCAATATCCTGAAGCCCTAAACCCTAAACCCTAAACCCTAAACCCTAAACCCTAACCCTAAACCCTAAACCCTAAACCCTAAACCCTAAACCCTAAACCCTAAACCCTGAAGCAAAGCCCTCATTTCAAGCTTAGGAGGTCCAAGGTACGCGTGTCCCAGTAATGTCCCAGGAGGGAAATCGCAGCGTGGATGCTCAGACCTCACAAAAGGTTGCCAGTGAGCCTAGAATGGGTTTAGGGTTTAGGGTTTAGGGTTTAGGGTTTAGGGTTTAGGGTTTAGGGTTTAGGGCATAGGGTTTATAGTGATTAGTGTTTAGGGCTGAGGGTTGAGGGCCCCAGCAGTCCTAAGTTACGTCACACTCCAGGTGTCCAGGAAACCTTCGGGAGGACATCCCTGATGTCTGGGTGTTCCCAAAACCCAACAATCAGAACTTATGGGCATTTTGCAAGAATTCATCGGGTCACCCTTACTACCCACCAAAAGGAGCAGAGTATCCCCCCAAGAAGAACCTCCCAGAAGGGCTTCTGATCTTGTTATATGCCCTGTACAACCAACCAGGGGCGGGGCCATCATCAGAACCCGCTGAAGGAGGTAAGGGACCATACTAAGGGCCCATGTAACTGCCAGAGATTTTCGGAAACAGATCAGAAACCATAAGCGGCAAACCCTGACCCTAAACCCTAAACCCTAAACCCTAAACCCTAAACCCTAAACCCCTAACCCCTAACCCTAAGTTCAGGAACCCTCAAAAGTTCTTTGCGCAGGCTCAGAAGCGCACGGGGCATGGCAAGGCGTTGCCAAGGCGACTGAGGCAAGCTCTTCAGGCCCAGGAGTCCTCCGGACCATTTCAGGGCCCTTTAAGGAGCTTCGGGTTTGGGGTTTGGGGTTTGGGGTTTAGGGTTTAGGCCAATTTTCTTGTTTAGGGTTTCGGGTGTAGGGTTTCGGGAGTTTAAGGCACTTGGAGTTCAGGCGTGAGTTGTGAAGGAAGCATGCCTGTGTGGGCGCATAGGAACCCTGAACTCTAAGTAAGGGTAGTTGCATGTTCCCTTCATGTGGGCCCTTAAATGGTGACCCCTTGTATACCCTATATCCCCTACAAAACCCCAAAGGCCGATACTTCAGAAATCTTTAAAGAAGGTCCAAATAAAAGGGACCTTGTAACTTCCCTTAGATGAACCCTGAACCCTGAACCCCAAACCTCTAGGGGCTACAAGGGTGTAGATTGGGATGTTCCACACTATACTAACACTCCCGAACAAGGGCTGTTAGAAAAGGGAGAACATCCCAAGGTGTGCTTGCCAGTTCCAAGACTCCACCCCTACCTTCACTGCCCCCATGGAGGTTTCCATGGGAAGGAGGGGGTTTGTCACCCCACATGAGGTTCTAGCACCTAACTGGTGAGAAGTTATGAAGATCGAGACCCAGAATTCTTATTAAACCCCTCAACCCCCCCCCCCCCCCCCCCCAAACCCCACTAAACCCCTCTAACCCCCTAAACCCCCCCGAAACCCTAAGCCCTAAACCCTAAACCCTAACCCCTAAGCCCTAAACCCTAAACCCTAAACCCTAAACCCTAAACCCTAAACCCTAAACCCTAAACGCAAAGTATGTTCCCCCCAGGCTCCAAGCCTTGAGCCACCGACTCACGGAACCCTCGGGGAAAATCGCGTTCGCCGTGCAGGAGAACGACCTTGGGGTCTGTACGTGCCAAAAAAACTATAATATACTGGAATCTACGATAGCAAACTACAATATACTACAGTATACTAGAATATACTAGAATCTACTAGAATATACCAGAATACTGTAATGTACTAGAATATCCTATATCTATCAGGAATTCCACTTTGTTGCTCGCAAGGGCCCTGAGGGCCCTTCATGAGCATGCGGCACACTGAAGGCAGGTCGGGATACGAGATCTGACGATTCGTCTGAGTGGCCACATCTCGCACTGGCTTCTGTGCATCTGGAGCTCGGGAAGCGTAGACGTCCAGGCGGCCAGGACCTCCCCCACAACTTCAACGGAATTTGAAACAGACATGGCATCGGATAGGCACCTAGTGTGGTTACGGTGGTGCATTCAAGCCCGATTCGTCATGACGACCAGAGATTCTGAGCCAGCTAGCTGCCAGTGGCAGAGCTCGAAAGGAATAGCTTTTCGTGCGTTTCATCACGAAGAGCTACCACTTTTTCGTGCAGCATACAACTGAAAAATGCCGCTCGCCAGCGGCACGCAAAAAAAAGCGGGAGTCCACGATACTAGATGATAGGCTCCTGAGGCCACTAAGCCGGCGGCCCTGAGCAGAGGGGCTTCCATCCAGCTCCAGGTCGACAAGGGCCGTCCGCTGGGGCAGCAAAGCACCTCCTTCACGGGGGTCGAGGTTGAGGGGGCAGGGGGGCGTGCAGCGGTGCAGCTACCCTGCACATCTCGTATCCCCAACGTACCCCATTCATGCTGATAAGCTATGATTTGATGGGGCCTATCAAAGTGCCCCGGCCTCGCTGTGCCATGATGTCGGAGGCTTTGCTGAGAACAACGCAGCCGGTGTCCACCGTTAAGCTGGGGTCGGCCTGCGTGACGAAGAAACGCTCTGTTCTGGCCACTATGCCAAAATACTGTAACGAGCATCATCATATTCATGGCAACGAGGCAAGCTGCCACCACCCGAGCTCTTAGTTTGCACTCTGCGCCTTCCAGTCCCCGGTGGCCACGCGGAGCGCGTTGACCAGGTTTCGCTCGGTCGGCGCGGCGCGGTGCTGCAGCTTGAGGCAGGTGACCAAAGAAGGGTTCACTGTCAGAACCTCCCAAGAGCAGCCACGGTAGCCATCACTGACGCTACGGCCGTCATCATCACCCAACCAACATGGACTTCTGGTTTAATGGTAGCCATCCCCCCCCCAAACCAATCTGAATCCGAAGTAGTTCCCCCTGAAAAAGGGGGGGAGGGGGAGGAGGTCAGAGTTGCTGGAGGCCTGGAAGGGGTGCTTGTAAGCTTTCAATATCATCGATTCTCAGTTTCGGGAATCCGGTGCCTCCAGGGTGCACTACTCGGAGTTGTCAACGGAGCTACTCTCGGTTTAGCGCTTTCGTGCACTATCCCACTTGAAAGCTTGACCACCTGGCTATCCTTTTGTGACTTTTGTGGCGTTGGAGACGGTTTTGTGGGCTAGAAGCCTGGACAAATTGGAGCTTCTGAGAGGGCCATTGTGAATCTCAGAGTCCAGGGGGTGTTGCGATTCTGCACAAGCAACATTTCGCACCATTTCAGGGTGTTTTTTATTCTGCTGCGGCAACATGTCGCCCTTTTCCGACATGACTCATGACTCATTAAAGGCTAGCGGTCAACATTAATCCATCTGCTGGCGTACCCCGCCTCCCCATTTGGGTAGACAAAAGACAGCGCGTGGCAGCGATGCTCGCCTTAAGGAGCGAAGCAAAGGGTGGAGGGTCCCAGACCCCTTCGAGGATCCAAAAAGTAGAACCCCAAATAGTACACTCTGCTACTATTGCGTCATTCCTAAGGAACCCTTAAAGGGATCTTTTTTTGGATCCTCCCAGGGGTCTGAGTATGTGAAGCTAAAGTTCTTGGACAAGACAATCCAGCATGGTCCAAATCCAAAAGCTGCGTCAACCGACTGCTTGACATACAGGCAAGTGTCTTTTCGAGCACCACAGCTGAGAAATGCAGCAGCGCGGAATTTCGTATTGCCCGTCCCTCTTCCTTGGTAGTCTTGGTACTGGCAACACAGAAGCGGCACAGAGCAAGGCGACTCATCGGCCAAACCCTGACCACGAATCCTTGGAAGAACCCACAGTGAGTAAGACCACATAGCCTTGCCAGGGGACTTGTCATCAGCAACGGGATCACGAGGCGATCCGCTCATCCTTGGAATTTCTTTTGGACACGATTGCCACTGCCTATCGTCCCCTCCCCTGACGAGCTGGCGGGACGAAGACCCACAGCAGCCCGCTTGGTGGAGCTGGGCGAGTTGCCTCTGCCTCTGCCCCATACCCATACATTCATTAGGCAGTGATACTGAAAGAGAACTCTGACCTGCAGCTCCTTTTGTGGATGCCGCGCGCATCGCCACACTGCTGGGGCCAGGCGCCCGTACCTTCATTGCAGGGCAGTGACCAAGCGACCATCTTTCAAAGCTTTTGTTGTGAGTTGCAGCTTTGACCGGGGCACAGATGGTGCCCGTGCAGAACATCAATGATCTTCCTTGCGGGCTGAGCAGCATGTCAATGCCAAAGCCAGATTGTGATGTGGGGGTCTCTCCAATTATGGCCCCGTTGGGTTTCCGCTTTTAATTGGAGTGACTTGTAGGGTACCCAAGAAGTGATGCCAAATTGAAACCATGTCCCCATGGCATGCCAAGCCACGAAGTGAACTCCGCCTGCTGACCGAGATTTGCCTGACCACTGGGCGCTCTCACATGCGATCACATGTCTGAGCGGCAGTAGCATGTTAAACAGCCGGGCAACACGCAGCCTCCTGAACCCTAACCCTCCCCTCCACCCGACCCAAAGAACCCGAAACCCGAATCCCTAAACCCTAAACCCTACCCCCCCCCCCCCAAAAAAAAAAAAAAAATGTATATATATATATATATATAATGAATAATAAATAAGAACAAAAAAGAACCGTAAACCTAAACCCACGACATTCAGGGTGCCTCCACACAGGGCACCATCTGACTGCGGCAGGCGCGATGGACGGCACCTGCTTAGCTTTTCGTGATCGGAGCCCCTCCCGAAGTAGGGTTCAGGGTTCAGGGTTTAGAGCTACAGCTGCCCTGTTTCCTGGCTTTTGCCGCAGGGGTGCTCACTGCACACCCCAAGCCAAACATGTCCAAATCCCATTCGAGCCACTCCAGCAATTTCCCTCGAGCCCCAGCTCCTCTCCCCCCCCCTATCCCGAAACCCCGAAACCCTAAACACTTCTTTCGTCCCGACGCCTCGCTCTTCGGGCGTCATGTCCTTCACCGCGCCCAGGAAGAAGACCAGGGATTTCGGGGAGTCTCGCGATCCTCGAGGAGTCAAACCCCTGCTACGCAAACCCCACATCTTTTGGAGGTCTCCTAGCCTCCACCACGCGCGTCGTAGAGGCCCAGGCTCCGCGGAAAGGTCTGACAAGTCTCAAGGCAGCGCATGCATCATGTGTGGAGGTCTGCGCAGAATGGCGACTGGCACACGGTTTTGCCTCATGCAACAAGATCGCCGCAGACGAGCCAGATCGACCGTACTTGGCAACCTGTCTCGCTGTGCTTCCAACAGACCCTCGCCACAGCTGAAATGGCAAGATGGGTCTTGGCCAAGGCTGTTCGATGCCTTTATCTGGCCCAATCTTGCAGGACAGCCCCCTAGCAACACTTAGCCGTCCCAGCCACATGCTTGACGAATGATGCTGACCTCTTTGCAGATCTGGGTCTGGGACCATGTCTTCGATATGGCCTCCAAGGAATCTGTCCCTGTCTGGCGTGGTGATCTGAAGTCCTTGGAGCACTCCCTAAACCCTAAACCCTAAACCCTAAACCCTAAACCCTAAACCCTAAACCCTAAACCCTAAACCCAGCACACTGACGAGCTGGTGTCATCACCGCATGTCTGCTCTCCACCCGAGCCTGGCATTCCGGTTCCTTCCAGCGCGCGCGCCAGCACCATGATCAGATGGTATTCCTTGGCAATCTCACCGCGCATCTGGGATTCTATCCCAAGATTGGTCATGCCTCTCATGGGCAACCGAGCAGAGTACAGATCATATAGAACATAAAATGTTGCTTAACACATATATGAATCATATCTTATACAGTCTTAGTGTGCATATACACGTATACATTATGACTGTAGCATACACATATCTATATATGTATATCTATACTAATCATTCATGTAAACATTTATACTTATATGTTCGTTTGGTTATAGTGGTCCAAGGCTCGGATGGCACGGGGCAGCTCGCCACGAATCGAGGAGATATGTGAAGCGCGTGGTAATCCTCGAAGATGAACCTGAGCAAAGAAGAGCAGGGCTTGCGGTTTAGGGGTTTAGGGTTTAGGGTTTAGGGTTTAGGGTTTAGGGGTTTAGGGTTTAGGGTTTGGGGCTTCGGGGTTTAGGATTTAGGGTTTAGGGTCTGGGGTTTAGGGTTTGGTGTGTAGGGTTTAGGGGAGACTGAAAGCAAGTGAGTCAGAGCTCATGGCGTCTCCGTCATGTCTTTGCTTTCAGCCTAAACCCTAAACCCTAAACCCTAAACCCCAAACCCCAAACCCCAAACCCTAAACCCTAAAAAAGGTTGTGAAGGTGGAGAGCCAAACAAAACGCCAGGCAGCACAATCTCATGAACATCCTCCCAGGCCAGACCTCGGCCCCTCCACAGCGCTGCTGTAGCAATCCTCGCCTGCACTGTATATTGAATTGCATATATAAATAGAAAGTTAGAGTGTATACATAGTATATGTATATACATATTTATTTGTCTAGATTCTCTGATTCACATATGTATAATGAATACATATGTATATATATATATATATGAATGTATGCTATGTCAGGGGTGACTCAGGGCACCGAGAGAAACAGAGAAAGAGCGACGAGACAACGCACAAGCGCACAGAATGCAACTTGCCGTCACACTTTGTCGCGCACCAGGGCATCTCGTCGTGCCACATGGGTTGAGGTTGCTTTGAAGGACTCCACAGTGAGCTCACCTGCACGCGATGTACTATACGTGGAGTACAGTGGGTGGGCATTCTTAGTCTTGTCAAGGCCAAACTGACGAAACAGCCGTGCGATGGCATGTAGCATAGGTTACCTATCAACTTGTCAGAGGCTGACAGGAAGGTTCAGACACCGCCCTGTTTTGAAGAAAGCCACCGGGGGGCAGGTGAGGGCCCAAAGGGTTGTTGATCCTAGTAAGCAGCACATGTTCTCTCGGCGCATTGCCCGCATGCTTGCATGCTTATTGGATTGATGCTCGGCAGCAAGCTTGCCTGGCGTCTTTCTGGTCTGAAACTTGTGGATGCATGTAGCAATATCCATTGTATCTAAAGTGCACTAACATCGCCCATACCACCTATTTATACCTCGAGCATGGCTGCTCTTTGTCTGTTTTCCATTGTTTCCCCTCTTGCCTGGGGCGGTCAGCACGAAGACCAGCTTCGCGCCAGATTGACTCGACCCGCCGGACCCCGGTGGCGCCCGCGCGGGCGACAGGCTCCGGTTCGGAGGCACGCCAACGCCTCGCCGAGCAGAAGGCAGCACAGTTTAGGGTTTAGGGTTTAGGATTTTAGGGTTTAGGGTTTAGGATTTAAGGGTTGTTGCATATGGCCGATGCGAATGGTGACAGCACAAGATGCACCCAGAGGCCTATCTTCGAGCTTCGTGTGGGAGCATGCGCAGCGGGTGTAGCGATGGAGGCCCAGGACTTTGTGGGTCCGCAGAGCTGCTGCAGCTCCTGTTTCTCAATTTGTTTCTCTCACATAAATAGAAATAGAAATAGAAATAGCAATAGAAATAGAAATAGAAATAGAAATAGAAATAGAAATAGAAATAGAAATATCAATCAAAATATTCATATACAATTAGATATTTACACTTAGATATGTATTGTTTATCGTCTTTTTCTGATCCTTCTCCAAAGGTTTCTTACCGGAACGCCCTCTGCGTCTGTGTCGCGCGCCTGCTCCCGCTGCTTCAGCTGCTGGGCGAGCTCGAAGTCTTCGCTCTCCACGGCTCTCCTCGGCTCTGTCTTCTTGGGCTTCGCAAAGCTTGTGGAAGAGTCGTAACTCTTGGGATCCCAAGTTTATACAGATTGGGGCAGACCAGGTTGGTACATGGGCCTCACAAAGCACTACTATAAAGGGTATAAGGAGGGACCCCTTAAAGGGGACCCTTCATCTTATTCCCCAAGATCACCCCCAATGTATGACTTCATTCTAAAGCGCAGCAGAGCAGCAGCTTCGACTCGGCGATGTCTTGCAGCTGCTGCCGGATCTCCTGTTGAGCTAGACCTTGGCATGTCAGGGCTCCTAACTCTCAATGCGTTGAAATCGGAATCTCTACTTCCATTGACAGGCTGTTGGATTCCAGGTCTCAGACTGTTGGCTGCAGCCGTCGCCTCGCGAGTAAAGCGTGGCACCGTGCTGACTGAACAGAGGGAGCTGCAATCCCGAAAGCAGGAGATGGTGTTGGGATGATGGCAAGATGGCGGTGAGAAACAGGCGAGGGGAGAGTGGTGATGGCGGCGATGGTGGTGGTGGCGGTGCTGGTAGTGTGGGTACTGGTAGTGCTGGCGCTAAACCAGTCCCAGTGCGGCCTGCCGGAATAGTTTCAAAAAAAGCCTGGGCCGGGCCCAACCGAAACAAACTAAAGGGTCAGCAGCAGGCACTGCATGCGGGCGACGGCCGAGAGTTGTTGTGTCCACGTGCACAGTACAAACGCAGCATTTTGGGCCTTTCGAGGTGCTGGGTCTGAACATGTGTGGGCGGGGGGTCCCAAGCTAGAAGTTGGGGCGTTGGGCTTTGGATTTCGAAACTCTTGTAGACAAACCCAAACTTTCTACCCTACCCACTCCCTCAACTCCCTATCCCCTAAACCGGGTCGATTCAGGGTCTCTTCACCCTAAACCCTAAACCCTAAACCCTAAACCCTAAACCCTAAACCCTAAACCCTAAACCCTAAACCCTAAACCCTTTGGAGTCTGGAGATGGTGGCCTTGGCGGCTGCTTTCGCTTTGGCCGCCGCCTTCGCCGCTGCCTTCGGCTCCTCAGCCTCCCCTTTGGCCCGGGCAGCCTCCGGGAGGGAGCAAGACGAGGGCTTAGGGTCTAGGGTTTAGGATTTAGGATTTAGGGTTTAGGGTTTAGGGCTTAGGGCTTAGGGCTTAGGGTCTAGATGGGTTGAGGGTTGAGGGTTGAGGGTTGAGGGTTGAGGGTTGAGGGTTGAGGGTTGAGGGTTGAGGGTTGAGGGTTGAGGGTTGAGGGTTGAGGGTTGAGGGTTGAGCGTTGAGGGCTGAGGGAAATAAGCATAAGAACGGCAACAGCAGTAGTAGTCTAGGGCTTCAAGGGTGTATAAGGCTGAGGTTCATGGGGTTAGGTGGCTTGTAGGTTGTACAAGACTTGTTCAGGGTTGAGGGAAGACCGTAGCCTCTCGCTGCGTTTTGGTGACGAATTTTGGTTCCTCGAGGTCTCTGGGATAGCTCGGCGAACCGGGCCTCAAAACTTCTCAAGCTACCCCAAACCCCAAACCCCAAACCCTAACCCCAAACCCCAAAACCCCAAAAACCCTAAAAACCCGGACGCCGGCCTCAAACGCATCCGTCATTGGCGACCACACGTGGCCTGCCAGCATCCATTTGCTTGGAAATCTGCACGTTGGTTCCCAGATGATTCCCAAGTCCTACACCCCCTAACCCCCGAATTACACCCCCCAACCCTCTGCACCCCCTAAGCCCCTTAAGCTTAAAACCCTAAACCCTAAACCCTAAACCCCAAACCCCAAAACCTAAACCCTAAACCCAAACCCTAAACTCTAAACTCTACACCCACATCTTCCCAAACCTCCCCACCTTTTCGCTTCGTGCGCTCTGGGCGCCGCGTCTGGCCGGCCTCAACCTTCGCCCGACCCGCAGGAATCTCGACAAGAGACTCACTTACGTGCCCTAATATGGTTATAAGTATATTCCCTAATATGGTTATAAGTATATTTATAAGTACAGTTATATTTGGTTACCAAGTGTGGGGGAAGCAAGATAGTTGTGCTTCACATTGTTCCCCCTTATACTAACAGCCCTTAGAAAGGATGATCATGGGGGGGGGGGGGGGGGGGTGGTGCTATATCCCTATTAAGGACTGTTAGTTTAAGGGGGAGCATCCCAAATTCTTCCCATTGTTCCCTATTCTTCCCATTGTTGCTTGACTTCTACTCTCCTTCCATATGCTCAGTTGGTGGCCTGCTGCTCAGGCTCTGCACTGGTGGCACGAGCTGCACAGGAGACCTGGAATGGTAAGAATCGGCAGCACTGCTTGTTCAAAGAGCACAAATCGCAACAATAGTGAGGCAGCAACAATCCGAGTAGGTATAGCTAAAAAAGACTCAGAATCCGCCGAGGCCTCGGGCCGGAGGTGTCTAGGTTGTCAGAACAGGCACCCCCCTCCACACCCAAAGCCCTTTTTCGGACCCCTTTTTTTGGCCTCAAATGGGTACCTATCTGGGAAATCGGGTCCGCAAGCGGACGGTTCGCCAGGACCACCCCTCCCAGCAGGGCCCCCCCCCCCCACCCCACCCCCCCCCCCCCCCCTCCCCCCCCCTCCCCCCACCCCCCCCCCCCACCCCACCTCCCCCCTCCACCCTGCCGAAGAGTCGCCTTAAACCTTAAGGGGCCTGGCTCAACCCTACGATCACTCCAAGCCGAACCCTAAACCCAAAAAAACCCTCAACCCCAAAGCGTGAACCTTGAGCCCTAAACTAACCCTCAACCCCAAACCCCAAACCATAAACCATAAACCCGGAACCCTCAACCCTCAACCCTCAACCCAACCCTTATTGCTTGGGGTCCAGCGACTTGGGCGCTGCGGAATCACCATGCTCACGCGGATGCGCTGGGCCGGGCCGAGGCGGGTCGCGTAGCGTTAAAATTATGGGATTAAAGCGAGTAGTAATAATTGCAGAAACAGTAGTAGTCATACTCATTCAAGGAGTTACAATCGCAATAACTGTACTGAGAGTGAAAATCGCAATAATGGGAAGGATAGTAATGAGCCATAAGACTACTAAGAGTAACTATGAAGAGTACTGACGAGAAGAAGAAAAACCAGAGAAGAAAGAATAACAGCCCTGCGAATAAGAAGAGCTGAAAGAACAATAATTGGTTCAAGTTTAACAGTTTGAAAGAAATCTTATAGCAATGACAGACATACAAAGAGCGTTATGAAAGCACCGTAGCAAAACGAGAATAATAAGGGCAACAAGTAGTGGGAACAATCGTAATGACAGCAAACAAACAGCCATAAAGGTACTGATAGTACTTATGCAAAGAAGAAGAAGAAGTAGTACTAGTAGTAGTCGTCGTAGTAGTAGTAGTGGTAGTAGTGGTAGTAGTGGTAGTAGTGGTAGTAGTGGCAGTAGCAGCAGCAGCAGCGGCAGCAGCAACTGTAATCTTGGCACAATGGCGGTCGCCATCATACGGGCGATTGCAAAAATAGTAATCGTAGTAATCTTCGCAGTAGCCGTCATACTAATACTAGTAATTCGAGTCATGATAGCAGCAATACGAAGAAGAGTCATGGAAATAGTTATCGTCGTCGTAGTAGAAGTAGTATTAGTAATGGGCGTCGTAGTCGTAGTAGTAGTACTGCAGGAGTAGTAGTAGTAGTAGTAGTAGTAGTAGTAGTAGTAGTAGTAGTAGTAGTAGTAGTAGTAGTAGTAGTAGTAGTCGTCGTCGTAGTAGTAGTAGTCGTAGTAGTCGTAGTCGTAGTAGTCGTAGTAGTAGTAGTAGTAGTAGTAGTAGTAGTAGTAGTAGTAGTAGTAGTAGTAGTAGTAGTAGTAGTAGTAGTAGTAGTAGAAGAGGTAGTGAAATAATGAAAAAAGTAAGAATCTGCATAAGAACAACAACACTGGCAGATAGAAACAATAGCAACACCTGTGATATCAAAAAAATCATGCTGCCACTTGTGCTGCGCTGCCTCCTGGGGTGGTGGTGTCGCCTGTGGCGCCTGTGACTGACTGCGGCGCCGGGCCTGCAGTGACTTTGAACTGATACACAAAAGTAGTAGTTGTAGTTGTATTCGCAATAACAACGCTAACAATCATGGCAATCATCGTAAACATCGGGCCTCGTCGCTTTGCTTGGCCGCATTTCGAGACGTCAATGTCGGAAAGTCCTCCAGAACTAGCAGAGCTTTCATTCTTTTCCGCATGGAACAAGGACTCAGGGAGGACTCAGCCCCGACCTCTCTGGGCTTTGGCTCCCTCGCAATCGGCCTGGAGGTCTGAGGCCTGCCGATACAACCCTTCGGAACTTTTTTGCTCCTGACCCCCATCTCAAAAACTCTCTTCCACATGATTCCGCATGCAACATGTATGGCAACATCTATGGCAACATGTATCCGAATTCAGTTCCGAGCAGCTTTGGCTGCATCAGCGCCGCTGAGTAGAGCTTCGAAGCCGTCGATGGTGGATTGGATCCTATAAGAGCCATGCCATGGCGACGGTCGTGATGAGGAATTTTCGGGTTCAGGGCTTATGGGCTTGGAGGGCGGCACTGCTTAGAGCCATTGGTTGACTCACTTTTCTTCAAGGTCGGTCTTCGAGGTCTGGCCTGCAGAAGCGCTTCCGCTTGCAGTGACCTCCGAACTCGGCTTGGTGGCACCTTGCGACATCTCAACAGGCTTCACAACTGAGCACTTCGAGCGCCAACCAGGTTCACAAGAGTCGTAGATACCATGGTCACGCTGTCCATCCGTGACTTAGGAAAAACGGGGATGGCTTCGGCACCTTGTGCAGCAGTACACAAACATGTTGAAGTGTTTGCCCAGGTGTTGCTGCGTGTGAAAGAGAGCCTTGCGATATCCCCTGGCCACCCTGCCGCCTTCTGAAGGGCGAGCCATGGAGAACTCCACATTGCCTGCAGCATGCTGCTCAAATGAACAGGCAGCCCAGCATGGCGAATGTGGCCTGGAGACTGTGCAGCAGCACTGCTCTGCTTTGTGAAGGTTGTCTTGGCAGCACCTGCAGCTAGATTCATGCTTCAGCAGTCCTGGTAGCCCGATGGAACGCGGACTGTTCCCCAACAACTCCAGCCTGCAGCCTCTGGCTTGTGCTGGCTGTGTGCCATCCCGACGTCCGCTGCCCCTGCAACAATAGATGATGCCAGAAGTACGCATTGAAGAACATAGCATGTCTGGACGCCAGAATGGGCATGCGTGGCATGCATGGCATCCGCGCATCAGGTCTTCGTCGACTGTAGATCTGTAGTATTCAGATCATTCGTTTTTGACAGGGTTGTGAACTCATCCCTGGCCAATCGTCGTATCAACTTGCGCACATGTTCTCACAAACCGGCGAGATCAACACTGCCAAAGTCGTCATCGCGCGCTTAGCTTGCGCACCTTTGTTTCCGAGCCCCTAAACTCCAAACCCTAAACCCTAAACCCCAAACCCTAAACCCTAAACCCCAAACCCTAAACCCTAAACCCTAGACCCTAGGCAAGCTTCTTCTGGCGGCACCGGGCCTTCGCCTCGAGGCCGCGCATCGGCGCTGCGGCGCCTCGGCGCTGCGGCGCCGCGCTCACTTTGGCGGCCTGCAGAAGGGTTTTCTAGAGGTTTTCTTAAGGGTTTTCTAAGGGTTTTCTAAAAGTTTTCTAAGGGTTGTAGATAAGGGTTGTTCTGAAAGGGCTTTTTGTTTATATAAGGGTTTTGTGAGGGCTTTCTGAGGCTTTGATAAGGGTTTCAGAAGGGTTTTATCAGGGTTTTTAAGGTTTATACGGGTCTATTTAGGGTTTCTAAGGGTGTTATCAGGGTTTTAGAAGTACAAGGATCTCATGTGGGCTTTATGAGGCCTTTTGAGGGCTTGTAAAAGGGTTTACAAGGGTGTGAGTATAAGGGTTTATAAAGGGTCTACAAGGGTGTTTTGGTTTAAGTATAACGGTTTATAAAAGGAGTTTTTGGGCTTATAGGGCTTTAGAAGGGTTGATAAGGGTTTATAAGGGTCTATAAGGGTCAAAAAGGGTGTATAAGAAGCTCTGTGAGGGTCTATAAGGGTTTACAGAAAGGGTTATACAGTAGACGGTGTCCAAAAGGGTTTATAAGGAGGAGCCAGAAAGGCACGCACAAACATCTGCAGGGTGTTTTGTCGGCTCCCGTCTACGACTGCATCTTTCTAGGCAACTCTAGCATCGAGCACATTGACTTCCCACCTCTCCGAACAGGTGCTTGTGAAGTTGCCCTGCGCGGGAAAGTAAGTTTGTGTGACCTACTGGCACTATCGAAATCCCTGGTTCACGCGGAAGTTCACGCGGAATTACAGTGATGGTATGCACCTGCCTTCGCCCCATTGGTGAATGCCCTCGCCGCTCACGTCCTCTGCCATAGGCAACGGAGAACTGTCAAACACAGATGTGCTACATGTCCCACATTAGCATACTTGCAGAATCCTCACTTTTGGAACCCCCAAAACGGTACGCCATGGTAGCCCCAAATGACGCTCCTGCCCCTTGTTTCTGCGGGGCACTTGTTGGCAGCTTGGCGCCCAGGGCTACCCTCAGTGCTGCTGACTCAGCGGATACACTTCGCAATGGTCCTTGAGCTGCCAAATTACGCAACCAGGTCCCAGATGTAGCATCAGCAGCTGTTGGCATGTGGATGTGGCATTTCGCCATTTCGCAGGACTTATCTCTGAACCAAGACATACCCCCCAAACACGCCCTGCAGGACTGCAACAACTTCAGGGCTTGAAATAAGATGTTTCAAGCCCCGTGTCAACATGTCTCCGGCCAAGCTGCGCTTCTGCCGTTGGCAGGTCGCAAAGTTCGAGCCTTGGGGTTGGACTCGAAATGGCTCGTAACTTTGGCATGACTTATGACTTGCTGTAGCTCTCGAAGCTCGTCTGAGGGATTGGCAATGTCACCAGATTCGGTGTCAACCTGCAAGCGCCGGCACGGACACCGACCAAGTGAGGCATGTGATTCATCAGGGTGCAGCAAACAAAGGTTTGCTCACAAAGGCAAGATTGGCAAGATGTCTGTGCACTGCTTGGACCCGTGCGCCAAGCTGTTGGCCGCCAACGCTGCGACAACTTGTCGCCCGACAGCCTGGCCGGCAGCTCTGACAACAGTCGCAAGGGTCACTGGCAGCGACAGCAGGCAGGCAGTCTCACCTTTGGGTTTGCCACGTGCTTCAGAGCTGCGCGAAGTAATTGTCCCGCCTGTGCGCAGACTAGAAACCAACGCCGTCTGAGATCACAATAGCCATGATGAGAACAAGAGTCGGGCAGACCTGCAAACGGCCGCTGGGAGCTTCGCCTGCATCATGAGCATCTTGCTTGTCAAGGTTCGTCCCGAAAGGATTCAGTGTCTCGTGGGCGGCACGCTGAGAAGATTCTGGCGCCTCCACTCGAGGAGAACCGCTTGGCACGGGCCACTGGTGACAGGCTGTCGAAGTCGCGGAGAAGCGCCCTGAGCACGTCTGGGTAGCTCAGCGAAATGCAAGCAACAAACCGAAGAACACCAAAGAAAGGCACCAGAGAAGGAACAGCACCCTGCTCCCTTTGCACCACGAGTTCCCTGTGCCACCATGGTGCTCCGCACTTTTTTCGTCTTTCAGCTCCTGCCGGTGCATCAAGGTGCCCGAAGCAAAATGAGCCGCACCGCTGATGTGGTGGGAACTAGAAGGGTGGGGTGCTTCAGGGCAGCTCTGCTTTGAAACCTCTGAGGGGGCCTCTGCCTCCTAAGGTTAGCCAGTTTCATGCCGTCGGTCATCATCAACGGCACAAAAGCAGTCCTTCTCCAATGTTTTGGAAAGAGCTTTGATAGAGGCACGAAGCTTCTTCCTCGGCAGAGTGGTTTCATCTTGTGCTGGCGTGGAACGACGCAAGCCGCGTGTCAAGAGAAAGAAAGCAGCTGATGCCGGAAGGTGTCTCTTCCACCAAGCAGCCCATCAGCTCTGCCTCAGGGACCCCGATGCACTTCCGAGCTAGCAATGTCTAGCCGACGAGCTTTCGAAACTATCTTTGCTAATCTTGGTCGAAGAAGTGTGTTTTTTTGTTTTTGCTTTTTTTTTTTGGGGGGGGGGCTTCATGCCCCCCTATACGGGCTACTTGCACCTTTTACAAGACAAGTTGAAGGCTCTAGGGATGGCGCATCGGCATACAGAGTCGGTAGTGGTCAGTGATGCTGGGGACTTCTACATGAGGATGACATGAGAGCGTCTCCAAAGACAAGTGGTGCTGAGAGAGGGTCAGAGGGTCATTGCGCTCGTGCATGATTCGGGACGGTTTATCTGCTGGTGAGCTCCGAAACATGAAAGAGCCAAGCATACGCTTATCTCAAGTAGAAGAAAAGCGAGCGCAGGCTACAGTTGGGGGCGAGCCGCTGCAACAAGAATGCCTCGAAAGAAGGGACGAGAACTGAGTTGCCTCTAAACCCTAAAGCCCTAAGTAAGCCCCCTGTAAACACCCCTCAGGAGTTCCTTAAGCCCGAAGCCTTCGCAGCTGAGGAGTTTCCCCGCCTCGGTGAGGCGTCGCTGAAGGGAGCTTGTGAGGGAGAGGGCCAGATCTCGGTCGTCGAGGAGGCAGGTCCTTGAGGCGAACTTGCAGAAGGCTTCCCGGGAGTTCGGGGTACCAATTAGAACTGCACTTATAACCCACTTAGAAGCCCCGTAAGTGCCCGAATACGGGAGTTCGGGTGCAGGGCTGAGGGTTTCGGGTGCTTTCTCTCAGCAAACCAGAGGCGGGCGTTGAACCAGATGCAGGCATGGCATGTGCTTCCTGGGGCCCCAGAATTCAAGTGTTCTGCCCGGCGTCTGGTTGTCAGCTCAGTGCCATTTGGGCCACTAGGTGGCTGTGCCACAGTTTGCAGACAAAAAAAGCGCTTGAAGCCTCCGTGGATGTGGGGGGGGGGGGGGGGAGAAGAAGAAGAAGCTTCCCTAAACCCTAAACCCTAAACCCTAAACCCTACACCCTAAACCCTAAACCCTAAACCCTAAACCCTAAACCCTAAACCCCAAACCCCAAACCCCAAACCCTACCGAGGCTCAGCACGAGAAACAGCAGCTCAGCCTGACGAGCAGCCGGCGGGCGCATCTCAGGGCCCTGGCAGGGGAGACGCAGATGAGGCTTCTGGACACGTAGTAGTTGCTACTGGTCTTCCCTTATGGTCCCTTTGTATATACATATATATATATATATATATAACAAGAGCCCCCCAACACCCTATTGAAATTCTGAAGGCCCCTACAGTGCCAGCAACTCCACGTGCACCTCTTTGGATGTCTGAGGTGTCGAGCTGGGAGGCTGAATGCCTCGGCTCGTGTAGGCGTGGGCCCTGTCGGCATGTCTCACTTCTGTTGAACTATAATTGACCAGGGTCTGTGGTGGACTCTGCCCTGCTCACACACACACGGCTCACGCAGCTGAACAGCTCTGACTCTGTGCCGTTTTTTGCCACAGCGGCTGAGGAGTTTGAGCGCCTCGTTGAGTCTTTGCCGAAGCCGAGAGGAGGAGGCGACAGTTTGCCGGAGCTCCGGAAGGGGCAGCTGCAGCAGCATACCCACGACCTCAAGAACAAAAAGGTGAAGAGCAAAAAACGAACCGAGCCAGCATCTTTTGGGGCCGCCCGCCCTTCAAGTTATAAAAGGGCATGCCGTGTCGAGGATGCGAGCAAGGACGGAATGACGCGTGAAAACCTACAACTTTTTTCGGTTCCAGGTCCGGGCCTTGGAGCTCACCTGCACGGGACTCTCCGTGCCCTGCAACAGCGGGCGAAGCTTCAGGAAGAGCAGCTCCTCGGATGATCGGACGATCGGATGATCGGAGAGCACTGGTGGTTCTAACCCACTCATCAGTGTAGCCGGCTGCAGAGGAAAAAGGGGGCAAACAACGCGCACAGACGGTCAGAAGCACTAGCGACCCTGAGCTGCACAATGCCGCACGCTTCCACGTGCAGCCGGGAGGCGCCCAGCAGAGGTCCTTAAGACTTAAGATCTTGATTCCGACATTTAGTCTCATTTAGGGGTTTTTTTTTGAGTTATAAAACCCTGCTGAGGGTTTGTTCACTTTAACAAAAAAAACCTGTTTCGATGAGCTCCACAAAAAAATGAGTGCTGTCTCAGCATCTTTCGAGTTCGGGCGGTGGCGGCTTCATTGACACCATCGCGGCCTGGGGGCACTGCGCAATCAGAGCAGTGGAGAATACTAGGGGAGAGGATTCGGGGGACCCTTGGGGATATAGACCCTATAGACCCTCTGAATAAGGTCCCTGCTTAAGAGAGCCAGAAGAGGGTTAAGAAGGGCTCCCCTTTAAGGGTCTCCCTTATCCTACCTAGGAAATACTGTGTCCCAAGAGTTGACCGGGACATGCTCTGGCCTTGCTGCGGAACTTTACGTGCTCCTCCTCTTCCTTGTTGGGCTTCTCTCCCTCTGCACCATCTGCTGTGGGAATCATGGCGGCCCATCTAGCAAGCTACATCGAGGAACCTGGTGGCGCGAGGATTCTGTGGACTCGGCCGGGAATTGAAAACTGCTGGAATCACATCTTCCCTGCCAGATGCTTGCAAAACACTCTCAGCTTTTGGCGATATTGTATAACACCTACCCAACAGAAATCTTTGCAATAACACTAGTAACGCTAGGAGGTACACCAGGGGTGGCGATGCTGCGAAGCTAGTTGCAGCGATTTGAGCCCAGCAGATTCATACTCTACTGCTGCGATGGTCAGGCTCCGGTGTGGCACACATGCTCCCGGTTGAAAGATAGACGTTTTCGTGCACGTTCGTGATCCCAAGCAGATTCCGAAAGTTGAAAACCAAAGTGCAAAGCCGATTCTGCCGGTGGTGTCGCGAATTGCCTCTCTTTCTGCTCTCGCCGTGCTTCTCTGAGGAAGGTCTTGCCTTGAACCCAACTTTGCTGGAGGACAAGAGATGACAAGAGGCCTTCACGGGTGCCGTTGTCTCAAAGGAGCCTGCAGACTTTGAGCCCTTCAACATTCAAATGGCAACTCCCAGATTCCGGACATCCGCTGCAGAGGCCCGTTTTGAGGCTCTCAATGCGAAGTCGGGGCAGCTATGTTCACTAAGCGTTGCAGCCTGTGGCCGAGAAGTGCCTGCAGGACCTTTGGCCGGCAAGCCTTCCATTCGGTGCTGGTGCGGAGCTCGAAACTCTGCTCCATGCGGCACAAGTCCTGATCCAAGAGTGCAAGCAAGGGCGTCCTTTCCATCAGCTCATACTCTCCGCGCTTGCACCGCACATGTGCCACGGCGGCCTCGAAAGCAAGATGGTCGGCATCGAAGACCGCCTCTTCCAATACCCGGCCTGCCTCCCAGCGCTCCACTTGGTCTCGCACTTCCAAGTTCTCCCTGACATCCTTTACACTGTTTACTATACATCCACCAGCTCCACCTTCTTCAGTGGTGCGGCGCATGCTGATGGAAGTCGACTCCGCCAGGGAGTAACCTCCTTGCGAGGAAACGGAGGCTTCCAGGAGTGTGATGCTGCCATCTTGCTTCATCTGCGCAGCGGCCGGCACAGCGAGCTTCACCAGGATGTCCCGCCTCTCACCGACGCCCAGGTCCGGGATTCTCACATGCCAGGAACCACCCGGCTTGCGGTAGCAGTCAAACGGCGTGAGGACCTCCTCTAGGTGAAAGCAAGGCTTCAGGGTCACCTCCACCTGCTGCGCAACCGTGGTGGACAGACGGTCAACGAGGCTCTGAAGCGCCTCCCGGAGGAAGGAAGCTTCCTCAATGAAGGTGAAGGGTGTTCTTGCTCTCATGGAGAGCTCTGGGAGTGCATCCATGTCTTCCTCCGATGCAAGCGCCAAGGTGTGCAAGCTGCAGCGAAGCGCCGCGCAGCGCTCGAGCAAGAAGTCCGTGTGCTCCCGAAGCTGGCCATCCTGGCTGCAGGCCACGAGAAGAATCGCGGAGACCGAAGAAGGCGCTGCGCGCCTCTCCATCATCTCCAGGCACTGCAGAGCCAGGGCAAGCCCTCGGGTGACATGGGCATCATTGGCATCATCTTCAGTTTGCACGGCCTCAAGGGCCTCTGTTACCTGCCGCTTGCCCTCGTCATCCATCAAGGACAGTTCAAGTGCAACTGATGTGGAGGTTACAACTCCCAACTGATCTTGTGGCACAAGGCGCTGGAGCATGTGACACATTGCAGTCTGGACATGTTGCAGGTACGGCGACATGGACGATGAAGAATCCAAAACACACATGATGTTCAGGGGAACACGATGCAAGGCTTCTGGAGTCACGGGAACCGCGGTGGTCTCCAGCGTGACCTGTCCGTAAACAGCCAAGTCCTCAAATGGCATCTCGGCATACTGCACAGCACTTCTGAGCTGTAGCGGTGACCTGTCCAACGCCACACTGTGCATGCCAAGCAAAGACCATTCTGGTTTCCTAAGGTATTTTGGCTGTTCAACAACCAACAGCAGCAACCTCGCTTTTCCACCAGACAGCACGCATGGCTTGACTGGAATGCCGTGCAGTCTCTGCTGCAACTGTTTCGCATCTATGTGTTGAGCGGGCTTGATACATTGGAACTGCTCCGCAACGCTGGCCCCTTTCCAAACAGATAAGGGGCTGAGCTTGTATTGCTTGACCAAGTTCATATCCAGGGCCAAGAACAAGATGCGATTAGATGCATCTGCAGTGAGCCAACGAGGCAGTGTGAACTCCACATCGAGCTCATACGGCAAAGAATAGGAGAACTCAGAGCGCTCCTGACCTGAAGCCCTGGCTTCGGCCGCCGGCGGAGTTCGCGCGTCAAGCAGTTGGATTGTCGAGCCGCCGCTCAGCAACCGATCGCGGCCGATGGAGGGTTCCGTGCTGTGGTGTGCCGTTGAGAAATGGTTCAGCAAGCCCGCACTGGGCAGGGGTACAAAACACAGAGGGCAAACGGCCTCGTGCCTCACGCTGGCAGTGCACGGCTCGGGCCTATCTTCGATCCGAGCTTCGCACTCGCGCTTCCTGAAGGGTCGGCTCTTGGGGTGCGGCATTGCGTCACAGAGCTCTGACCGTCATCGACTTCTGGGAACTACACTCAGACAACTTTGGGACACGCTCCTTTCTGTTCTGTTCCCTGTGAAAGTGCTGAAGTCACGGGCAGAATGAAAATGGTGCTCTATGGTGCTCTGTGAGTCAGCAAGTGTCCTCAAAGGCAAGCCTTAGGCCAGCAGTTCCACAGCTCAGGTGTACATTTCTGCAGAGATTGTTGAAACGGGCCTCGGCGTCAGCCACCAAAATGGCCTAAGGCGTACCGCGCCCCCCCTCCCCTCCACCCTCCCCCCCCCCCCTGCCCAACCTGAATTTGAGACTCTCTTGAAGGAGAACCGAGCTTTCATGCGGGGCACGAGCACGAAAGTCCAAGTTTTGGGCTTGCCCGCCTTGTATCGTAACTTTTTGGAACCTCCAAGAAAAAACTCGATGCCATGGACCCCCTGCAAGCCCCCTTGCAATCCCTGCAGGTAAAAAGGGACCTTTAGAAGCCCTCTTAGGGCCCCGTTACAGCACCCTTTTAGGGAGGACAGGTGGAGGCGATGCCAGGGCCGAGCCATGTATGGTTAGGGCGAGACGTCTCTGGACAAGCAGCTGGTTCTCTAAGCTATGGTCCTCCTGCGATCGTGATTTGGCTATCTTCTTTGTGGTAGGGGGGGTGGGGGGGGGCACCTAGGCAACAAAACAGCGAGGTACTAGCGAAGTGACAGCTAACCAACAGCTAGAGGGAGTTGGCGGTCCATTCGTGGTGTCGCTGGGGCTTTCTACGATACAACTCTTTCAATTGGCCCCGGCCTTTTCTTAAGCGTACACATCGCTTCCAACAGGAGCATTCAGTGGGGCCAAGCAACATTCATCGACAACAGCCCCACACAAGAAGCTGTGCTTTGCGACGTCCTTTACATGCATTGCCTGCAACTTCACTGGCTTGGCCACAGATGTTGCAAGTCAACCTATGCAGAATGCAGGACGTTCCCGGTCAGTCATGATGCTGCTTGTCCAGCCGCTGTTGTTCTCACATAGGCGACATAGGCGCCGCCACCTACACCAAGGCTTGCACGGAAAGGCTTGATTCCTGGCCGGTGCATGCTTGACTTACTTCATGTACAAGGCTTGTACAGCTAATCACCGCGTCATGAAGATTGCCTTGCGCGGAAGTGCCACCGAAGGCAACTGCTCAATGCCGATCGGTTCAGCATCTGCGGAGGCTAGACCATCAAGTGTGGGAGAGTTTGGGGCCATCTTCGATAGGAAGTCATGGTCGGCCCTTACCGTTCGTTTGCGCTCCCAGGCTGCAGCACAATAACACTGTAACGCTCAACATCGAGAACCATTCGGGTCTTACCAGTCATCGCAAGCTTCCAGAGCCCTTGAAATCTCGGAAGCTTCACCCCCGTGAGCATATTCATATGTACACCGCACTCCCTCAGACCAAAGGTATGATTGCGGTCAAGGTTTTACTTGACATTAGTTCCCTGGAAGGCGGTGCCTTGCGGCATGTAGACCGTGCTGTGCCCAAACATGAGCATCAGCTTGTCCACCTGAGCCTCGGATGGGATACCAGGCTTGTGATAGGGTTTAGGGTTTAGGGTTTAGGGTTTAGGGTTTAGGGTTTAGGGTTTAGGGTCTAGGGTTTAGGGTTTAGGGTTTAGGGTTTAGGGTTCAGGGCCTCTAGACGTTCTAGAGGCCTTTAGGAGGGGGTAGGCTTTAGGGTCTCGGGTTGGCAGACGGAGTGGATGAATCACAAGTTTGGAAATCGTGAAGGGAAGGCCGACAAACATTCATGCAGTGCTGGTATTCGCGCTTGCCATTTGTGTGTTCTTCTGTGTCGCCGGGTTGCCAAACCTGGAAAACCTAGACGTTCTGCATGCAGCATGCAGCTGGGCGCCCAGCCAAGGAGTGCAGAAGCTCCTTCTCTCGACGTCGCTGGCCAACCGTTTCGATGTTGAAGGGAAGCAGGGACAATGCCCTCTCCACCTTCAACAGTGACTAAGTGACTGGGAGAGGACCATGAGCCAACAAGCCATGTCCACAAATCCGAAACCCTAAAATAACTCCAGTTCACTGCAAGTCAGGTAGGATCCCGGTTGCTTCCGGGTTGCCTCGACTTTGCGTCTTTTCAAAGCCTTGCGCTCAGCTCTCAGCTCGGACCCAAAAAGCCACATGACAAGGAGGTGGGGAATGTACATTCAGGCTCCCCTTCTGAAAAAACAGAACTCCCCTCGAAACGTAAACCCTAAACTCCCCTAAACTCTAACAGCCCTCCCTTTCAAACCTACTGGCACAACAAACCTTTGGAAAGTTCGTTCGTGCTGTAGGATTTCGGGTTCAGGGCTTAGGGTGTGTGGCCAGCCCACAAGAATGGTGACGAGTTGGCATCCTCAGCCACCCGTCCGTCACTTCGCGAAAGGGAAGCGGCGACAGGACAAAGTTGGGAGGGCCGCACACCAACCAAGAACATTCGGACCACAAGCCCTCACATGCTGTAAAGTCGGGATGCTCCCCCCTATACCAAGAGTCCTTGATAGGGATTATAGTATAGTACCCCCTACTATAATCCCTATTAAAGACTGTTAGTATAACCCTAAACCCTAAACCCTAAACCCTAAAACCCTAAAACCCTAAAACCCTAAAACCCTAAAACCCTAAAACCCTAAAAACCCTAAAACCCTAAAACCCTAAAACCCTAAACCCTAAACCCTAAACCCTAAACCCTAAACCTCATTCTAATAGCAGAAAAGGGGGAACGTCCCAACTGTCAAGCAGAAGCTTGGAGTTTTTTTGGATGGGCCTCCTGGGTGGCCTGCCGCTCTTCTTCCGGGACCTGCCTGGCAGAAGCGACTCTTAGGGTTCTAGGGTTTAGGGTTTCGGGTTTAGGGTCTAGGGTTTAGGGTTTTAGGGTTTAGGGCTTAGGGTTTAGGGTTTAGGCTTTACAGTTCACCCGCACCCTCAAGCCACCAAGACACTGCCCTCTCGCATACGGGCTGCGCCCGCTTCTCAACCGAGGGCACACAAAAACACCGGCACAATAATCATATGCGGGCTAAAAAAAGCGGGTGCTACAGCAACATGACACGTGGTGACTCGGCTGAGCAGCATGTCTCAGTCGCAGGAGCAATTGCATGCCTCTTGCTCCGCTGTTTTCGGGCGCTGTACAGCCAACTGCTGCTGAGCAGTGAGTTGCAGCTCAATATGCACGCTCCACCTCCATCCTCTAGTGAAACCCTTTTGGAAGGAGGCAAAGCCTTGTCAACTGTACATGACCAGCTACAAACTCGGGCTCACGCAGGGCGGGCCTAGCAGGAGTTCAAGCTTGACGTGCCACGGCTTCAGCAACAACACTCTGGACTCTGGAAGCATGAATCGGTCCTGTCGTGCCTTTGCTGCTGCTGCTACCGACTCCTGGCATTCCACTGCCGAGCTCTGAGATACCTACATGCAGCCGGACAAGACACCGGCGTACCGACGGCGAAGGCAACAGCCTCTGTCCTCCACCTCTTGTCGTCGATTCTTTGGGCAGAAGTGGATGGCCCTGGCGAGGCTGTTTTCTTGAATCACGGCAGCTCACACAACTCAGCCGCCCTTCCCCGAACTCATCACTGCCAGGCAGAATCGCACAACTCTGTCTCACTAAAGCGGTCGGTCGAGGGCTACTCCAGAAGTCGATTGCTGCTTCATCTATCGCGGCTTGTTGCCCCAACTTCCTGGCTCAGTTCTAGTGAAGGCTCCATCCCCCGACATCACTTCCTTCTCAAGCATGCTTGGCAACGTTTGTCGGGTCAATCCCGAGACAGAATCGGGGCAAAGCAATCTGCACACGCAGTGTGGTGGGTCTCGCCTGTACATCTCCCCCTAGTGGAGTCCTCGTGCAGCAATTCAAATCCATGCTCTGACTTTCTGCTTCACGAGTAGCACCGTTTTTCGTAACGTCCACACGTCTCGGAGACGATTTTAGGAACGCACGATGCAAGGGCTTCATGTGTGTGAAGGGGGGGGAGTGACGGCCGGCTCAGTATTCAGACCGGTGTTTTCAGTCCAGTGCACTAAGCCTAAACCCCAAACCCCGAATGTGAACAAGATACTCATATCGCAACCCACGATGCCGAACTCCACGTGGAGTCGCGGCCTGGAACTTCGCTTCACGGCCTTGGCTTCTGAGGCTCTGGCAACAATCAATCAGGAGCTGACCAGAAAACGATGCAGAAGAAACCGCGCATGAACAGCCGCCATACTTCCTTAAGGTATGCGTCGGCATTCTAACATGCATTCCGGCGGATGCCTTTACCAGCAGCTCGACATCTTGAAGTAGATCAAGATCTCCATCGCATCCCAGCTTCTTTTTGGCTTTACCTGCGTCAACATGACTCGAGCATAACCGCACTCGAACCGGATTGTATAAGTGCCGCAGACCCTGTGTACTTGCTGCAGATGAGTAGTACTACAGTATGAATGCTGGGATGCCTGGCTTGCCACTCGTGGCCGGGCTAATCACCTCAGTGCGTTGATGAACTCCCTAAACCCTAAACCCTGAACCCTAAACCCTACACCCTAAACTCACTGAGGCTGTGCAGGAATGCCGGAAAGGCACGCTTAAGATGCCTGTGCTGCCTAAACAAAACATACGTCTCCAGGTATATACATATATAACTACATATATAACAATATTTATAAACAGAGGTTATGTGTAATATCAAGAAGTCTGTGTGCACATATCTATACACATATGTATATATGTTTATTTGTCTATTTTTATGTGTATATATACATCTTTTGAGTTACTTATTTATGTATTTATAGTACACAAACAGGTGTGGTCGAGGTTCGTATTCCAAGGCCATTCCAGTCTGGTCGATGGCGGCCGAGACCACCTGCAGCGACCAGAGGCTTCATCAAGGCGGAGAGAGGGTCTGTTACAAATCTGCCATGTGGACCCCAGGGGTCTAGGGTTTCGGGTGTGGGGCTTAGGGGTTCAGAACCCTAAACCCCACACCCTAAACCCTAAACCCTCAACCCTCAACCCCAAACCCTGGACCCTAAACCCTGGACGCTCGGTGCTTTCTCTCGAGTACCCCAGAAGGCCTCGCGGTCCATTCTCAGGCCAGCCTCTGAGGAAGGGCGGAGCTTCGGAGCATAGCAAATTGTTCTTTTATGTTTGTAATACACCATACAAAAGAATCGAAGTATACAAAGAAATATAAAAGCATATATATATATATATATATATATATATATTATTCATTTGTCACGTCTGCTTTTGAAAGACTTGGGATATGAGGATGTTTTGGGCGTATGGAGAATTAGCGCTCGCCTCCGCGAACTGCAGCGCCCTACCGTCCAGGCGAACGGCACGCAGAACCAGCTCCCTGTCGGATCCTAAGAGGATGGGATGGACAAAGAGTCGGAGCCTGAGCACGTCATAGAAATAAGAAAATGAATATGTATATATATATATATACACATAATTTGTACATATAATATACATTGTGAAGTCGACCAGCACTGGACTTGCACTAAGCCAAGGCAATCACAGCCCGGTCACGCTGTTTTACGACTTCGCGAGTCCAAGCACTTGTGCAGCTACGCCTGAGTGCGTCCGGTCGGACCGCACAGCAACCTAGGAGCTACTGTACGACTCTACCGTGCTCAAAGGCACAAGCTCGGTACTTGAGCCAAAACATTGGCATTGTTACGAATTGCAAAACTACACATGCAAGGGAAAACAACAAGCTGCACTAGCACTAAGCAAGCACTCCATGCATGCTTTGACCTGCTCACATTCGCCCCTCAGCCGAGGCTTCCGGCTCACCAAGAGCTCATAGTGCGTCAAGCACTTCAGCAACGCGGCAAATGGGGTAGGGTGAGGGTGTCGCGTGCGACTCTGGTAGAGCCCGCACATCATGAGCATTGGCATGCGGCTTGGGCGGCAGCCCGCACTACCGGACGAACGCACGACGACAGCAACCCTTCACGACCCTAAACCACCCCAAGTCGCGAGCTCTCACCTTTGTGCAGACAGGCGAGGCTCCAGAGTACTGGGCAGGTCTTTGTGCTGCTAGTGCAAAGCTATGGTACAAATGGTACACTGTACACTACCGGTCCTAAGCTACGGCTACGGCTACTCACCTATCCGGAACTACCCTACGGGCTACCAGACTCAGCGAGAGCCGCGCACATGGCTTGTGCCGCAGGCAATGCAGCTCACACGCGCTTCGGCGAGCGCATTGCCGCGACCAGGACACGGTCCGCAGCACCTGCAAAAGAGCACCCTCAGCACGAGGGGCCACAGGCAGGGCGGAGGAGAAAGGTGCGGGGAATGCAAAATGGGCAGGTTTCCAACCTGCCGCGGCTTTTCGCCCGCAGTCAAGCAAAAGAAAATGCAAAAGGTTGGCGAAGCAACGTGCCGTGCTGCAACGCCTGCTCTGATAATGCGTGGATGCATACCACGCCGCGCCGACTGGCCGCAGCCTACTCGATACCCTGTGGAGCAGTGTTGGGGGCACGAGTGGCGTTGCCAGCAACGTTGGAACTACTGGCTCGCTCCAACTGAGGGCGCCTTGCGACCGCCTCATCGAGGGAGAATGCCTCAGCCGACACCCTCTGGAAATCCTCAATGTAGGACTGCGCGACCGGGTGCGTCTTGGGGACCTCAAGCCTAAGCCCTGCCTCCGCATTGGCTTTGCTGCTTGTGGTAAAATTGAGGCTCCCAATCAGCACCACCGCGCCATCAGGCCGCAGTAGGCAAAGGGCCTTGGCATGGTGAAGCCCTTGGATACCGGTACCTACTTTAGCCCCGCGGCCGTCGCGAGCATAGGCGTCGCGCACGGATGAGCCGCAACCCACCTTCACCTCGGCGCCTGCAGCCGCCAAGCGTTTCAACGCTTGCCACTGCAGTTTGGTGCGGTGGCATTGTCCCATGTCGGCGACAATCCGAACGCCTGCGCCCTTGCTAAGCGACGCTTCGATTGCCTCGATGCAGGATGGGCAATCTAAGCTGTACGCCCGGATGTAGATCACATCATCCTCTGCTGCTCCAGACCCAAGCAGCGTTTGGGCGGCCTGAACGTATGGCCCGCCCGCAAGGAATTCCGCTTCTTTGACTGGAGATCTCCTAGCGGGGACTGGGCCCTTGTTCCTCCGGCTGGGTGTGCGCGCCACAGTGGCAGTGGCGGCACGTTGCACGAAGCCGGACTGTGCGTGGGCTGCGCTCGCTCCATCTGCTGGGGCCGCGGCCAGGTCACGACCCGCGAGCCCCTGAAAGCAGGAGAGCCCGCGGCTCTTGGCCGCAAGTTGGGAGAAACATCCTTCACTGTTCCCCAAACCCAACACAACCTTACCCTTAGCCAGGGCTTCGGAGGCGGTACTCCGAATGGAGTCTGTGAGCGCAGGACCCGCGCCTCGCTGGGCCGCGTGCAAAAACCCTAGGGATCGAGCGGTGTCCATTGCGGCATCGCAATGCCCGCAACGTCCCTCTGCTAGGTAAGCACGACAGCCACAGGCAGCTGTCTCCTCCTTGAGGTGCACCCAAACTTTATGGGTCACCCCTTTCTTAGTGCTCGCGACCTCAAACGTCGCTTCAGAGCCAAGGAGTTGAGACAGCCGCGCCTCAGGGGCCGCGGTGTTGCCATGTCGCAGATGCGCAATGCGATTGGCAACGGCACGACTCACGTACCACAGAACAGCGCCGCACAAGATCACTACTACCAGAGTGATGGCTGTTCCGGCGACCCACACGGTCCGCCTGGCCCCATGACCGATTTCCTCGACAACGTCGGCCGAAATTGTTGCAACCGCGTGCATGGAGTCCTCGACAACATGCACAGCCCCGCGGTGCAACTGCAAGGCAATCGGCGCCGACGCTGCAGCCGCCAGGCCCCACCAGCCGTTGATGTTCCCGTTGAGGGCGTGCATCAACCGATTGAGGAGCCCGCGACCCAGGAAAAAGGGGGTCCGCGGCGGAAGCGGAACACTTGGCGGCGGCCGGGCCGACCCGCACGGGAAGGCTGGGACCCAGCTTGTGCTTGGGCGGGGTTGGAGCGCGGCAACTATGCCCGCGGCGTAAGCGCCCCAGGCGTACCTGCCCCTCCCCTTGGGCTTGCCCTTGGCATCGGACTTGCCTCTGCCCTTCGGCTTGCCCTGGCCCTTGCCACGGGCGTCTGCCCAAGCACTCCAAGGGTCGCGGCCCTTGCCGTACGTCGCCTCTTCGCGACGTCGCTTGCCGCCCCTCTTCTTGTGTTTGTTTCTAAGAAGAGGTTGGATGGTTTCTTGGTCCATCGCACGATTGGCCAGAAGGATCTCGTACTCCAGCTCGTCCTGGCTGCTTTCGGAGCCCGAGTCCCTCTCTTCGCCACGCCGCGGATCAGGGATCCCGCGAGAGACGACCTCTGCCAAACGGAGAGGGGTGCTGCAGCGAAAGCACAGCTGCCTGAATGAAAGGTTCCATTCATAGCAGTTAGGGCACTGCCACCCTGCTATGCGGAGCGCCTCGCTGATGTGATCATCGCGCTCCGCCTTCTCCGCCTGGCGCCGCTCCCGCTTCTTGGCGCGCTCGGCCGCCTGCGCCTCCTCGGCCGCCTGGAGGGCTTCAGCGAGTTCCTCATCGCTGAGAAGCCTCGCGGCATCCGCCCGCGCTTGTTGTTCTTCAAGCTCTTCGGCAGAAAACCTCCGCCTCCACTGCTCTGGCGCGGTTTGAGGATCTACCTCCCACCACCCGATGTCGATCCCGTTGATCCATCGGCCGTCGCACGGGGCACCCGCATCCGGGCCGCCCGCGTGCGTGGTGAGGCACTGGTCCTCGGTAACCGGGTTGATGGCTTCGCAGAAGAAGCACCGCCAGCTGCCGTAGGGGTAAAAGCGGCCTTCGACGTAGGCTCCGTTGGCTGGGAGGGCGACATCGTCCGCCTCATCCGCGGTGCCTGCCTCCATCTCAACCGAGACCTCCTCGTCCTTGACAACCTCAGCTTCCTCCTCCTGTTCCTCCTTGACCAGGGGCTCTTTTTGCTCCCGGCCAACGTTGAGGTGGGACTCAGTGCGAACCTCGGCGCGCATCAAAATGACGTCAAGGCTATCCGCGGCTGGGTCGCCCGCGAAGAAGGAATCGATCTCCCGGGCATGGAGATCGTCAAGAGGCGTCACCAGGTCTGGCGAGTAATCCCGCTTGGAACGACGCTCTGCAAGGCGTTGCTGAACGTCTGCTAAACTTCAAGTCGCTCTTTTTCCTTGAACCGGTAAAGGCGCTGTCGGTAAAACATGAGTCACAAATCCACACATGCTCATCAACCCTTTGGGTTGGTAGGTGGGGTTCCCAGGTAGTAGAAAAACTTTACACCCCGCCTTGATGTTGTGCGAACTGTAAGCTCAACATCACTCTACAGTAACGGGTTTGTAGAAACTGTACAGGTATGTCGTTGGGCTCATCTGGTATTGTGCGATGGCCTCGTTGTGCTCTCCCTATCGGAGTCCTTGCACTCGGTGAAAACTGTTCCCACTGCTTCCTCGTGGGTAACACTTCGCTCAGGTAAGCTTGTACTCGTTGTAGCTCACACTGTACGGAAAAGTGAAACATTCCATCATTCACTCACATGGTCCCGGGCCTGCAATTGCCACAAGGACGGTAGTGCAATCTCGCATGCACTGCTGCACTGTAAGTGAATCTCTCTGACCTTTGCACATCTGCACATGTAGGTCGGTGGTACCTCTTGCCATGAGGCGTGTACACATAATGGGGTTGTGCTCGTAGCTGTTCGTCCACATCCTGTGCCATAGGAATGATATTAACCATTCCCCATTCTTGAAATCGCCTTGCAAGCTCTTCGTCATTCACATGGATTTGGCTTGCTGGTACTGTACTGATTCCAGGCATCCCATTACCACTGCCTGTCGCTGAATCCTCTGGTGCATCACGGAAATACATATTGACTGCCCTTGCTGTACGTTGAACATCATCCTCATCGGGCGGACAATACTTTTGCACAAATCTTCGAATAGTGAATTCCTCCTGCGGTTCCTGTGGTCCTTCTTCCTGCGGTTCCTGTGGTACTTCTTCCTGCGGTTCCTGTGGTCCTTCTTCCTGTGGTTCCTGTGGTCCTTCTTCCTGCGGTTCCTGTGGTCCTTCTTCCTGTGGTTCCTGTCGTCCTTCGTTCACCTTCTGCTCGACCATGTAGAACAAGAGTAAAGCGAAAATTCCTCCTAGTAGCACACTGAAAAGAATAATCCATCCACTCACTTCCTTCACATAGATGAAAACAAATTCTCGTTCTTCTCGTTCTCGTCCTCCAAAATCGTCTGGCTGTCCTGCAATCTGAGAAATCATATTCACCATCATTGTCAAGTACATCGCTCTAGCCGTCTTGCTTCCTCGCTCGCTCAACAAAGTT